CGCCTCGCCGCCGCACTCTACCCGGGGAGACACAACTACTTCACGGAAGAAATCAAACTATTACAAAACATCACCTAATTTACTAGATAATCTAATATTATAAAAACGATTTTTATATTATGAGGTGGTAAATAAGCAAGCGGCTACTTGAATTCGCCGAAATGGCGAAGCGAACGCTGTCCATAAACATCTGCAATTGTAGATGCGCTGCCTACCCTTAATCGACGGGGAAGGAGATGCTCATAAAAAGGATATTTCCCCTTTCTATGCATCTCCTCTACCGTCAAATCCACTTTCCCTTTCCATCCTTTCTTCTTAACAAAAGGGTGGAAAGGGAAAGTTACCAAAATCAGAGATATTAGAAAAATTAGAAAGTTTGTATGGATGGATGTTTACTACGTATCTCCATAAAGGTTAAGGATATCGCTGAAGATTTTAATTCCGTGCAGGCGAAGCCGCGAGCGATAGCTAGTTTGTAAATAGATTTTTAAATGTACATACTCTATACCAGTGATATAAGCTCTCAAAACTAATTTTTATTTTTTAATTGTCTTTAAATATATTGTAAATACATTCTTCGATATATTTTTGTATCACAATTTTCAACTCTTTTTTGTAATATCTTGCACAAACAGTTTTTTTCAAGTTACAACTTCTAGTCTTGTCATAGTAAAACTATTAGAATTTTTGTACTTAGATGTGTCACCTCTATGTAAAAAATGCTAAAAAGTACATACTTTGAGAGTTACTTTACCAAATGGCGCTTGTTCTTTGTTATTTGAAAATTTTAAGTCGCTTATTGTAGTTTTTGTTCCATATTCAAAGTTTCATATTTGAATTATATTAAACCTAATGTTTAGAGTATATTATGTTTTGCTATATATTTTATTTAGTCTATTTTTGTCGTTAGTATATTTGGCTATATTACCTACATTACTTTAGATTTATTTCAAAACCTTTGGAACATAGTTTTAAAGAAATTGGCGATCTCAAGTAAAATCGAATATAAATAATTTAGGGAAAGTGTATGTTGGCTATAAACAGTTACAATTAGTCTCTACCTATCCCCTTAAAGACATTGAAAGTAAGAGAAATTAAATGATTTTGTATGAAGTCGCTGTATTTTATTTACCTCATAACCTTAAAACTAAGATCTTCCACGAGCATGCTTCGTGTTTGATGAACTTCGAAAATGTAAATCAAAAATGTTTAAAAAAATGTAATGTTAACGCACCTTTTTTTTGTATTATGAGGTGGCAAAAGAGCAAGTAGCCACCTGAAACCGCCGCAATGGCGAAGAGACCGTTGCCCATACACATCTGCAATTGCAATGCGTTGCCTATCCTTAGTCGACAGAGGAGGGCACGGATATATTTACACGAGAAACGAATTTCATTTTCCTTAAAATTAGATATTAAAATAAGCGATAATAGAAACAAAAATCACAATTTTACTTCAGTTTCATTCTATTAACGACCCGTGTCGCTGATTACATTACGTATCGTGTGCCATGATTTCAATAGTGCGTTTACGTAAAACGTAAAACGAAAAGTGAAAAAAAGTTTCTTCACTGGCACTTTATCAGTTGTAGATTAGTGCCGTGTGTCGTCGTGTACCTGTATGTTATTAAAAAATATACAAAATTATAAACAGAATTTGTTATTTAAAATTATATCGAATGAGGTTTTGATCCTCAAAATGTTTCAAGGTGGCAACTATGCAGCTTCTAACTTTTTGAATCTGTTAAGTATTCAAAATATCGTGATTTTTGAGACATATCTTGAAGAAATACGATTATGTAGCCAAAAATGAAAATCGTTGTTTGCCTCATGTGTCCCAAGGTCCAAATTTAATAAAAGGTGTGAAAAATAAAATAGCGAACTTTTTTCAATTATTTATTCGGCTCATTTTTACAATAGTCAAATCAACATTTCATACAATTTTGTCAAAGTACCAAATTGTTACAAGGTTTAATAGTGCATTATAATTTGAAGATTTTAATTAATTTCCTAACATTAAAATGAGTTATAAAATTGATACAATAATTTGGTCGTTTTAAAAACATTTCACTTTAAAATTTCCGATTATACAATTTAAAAGGCCATAAAACTTTAAAAATCCTAGGCAAGCTTCTAAAATAATTTAAAACCTTATATTAAAATTGATCTTAAAAATATTACATTATTGCTTAAAAAATCAACCAACAATTAAAAAAAAATCATATTTTCAGTGGGTTTTTTTAGTCTTTTTTCATAATTTGAACAATAATCATAAACTTTGTTACTTAAAAATTGGAAAAGCAATTAAAATATCAATAAAACAAACAGGCTATAACAATCAATATACGGGTAGTCGTAAGTTAGACTACTCCCAGGGCTCCTTGTCACTCAACTTGGTAGACTCGAAGTGCGTCTGCGCAACACTCGCCACTTCGTATTCACTCGGATTTGGCGAAGTCGTACCTATAAGAGAAATATAACAAAAATTTATATCTTAACTATAACAGACATTTAAATTTTCAAACAAGGAGACAAAGTTTTTTTAATGCACCAGAGTAGGGGTGGCGAAAACACTACGAAAAAAAAGTACCTGCATCATGAAATTGACGTAATAATCGCCGTTAAAATTATTTTATTCGATGGCACGTCTAAGACTGTATTAAATATTTTTAAAAAGGCATTCGATGCATTTCGATGCAAAAATGTTTGCTACCCCTGTATATCGGGATCTAATATTACAAGATCCTAGTAAAGTTTAATTGACTCACCATCGCAAGAAGCAGCATACCCATTGTAGCCGGTCTCTAGTGGCGTGTGCGGGGGCTGCGCGGGCGGCGAGGCGGGGGCGGCGCGTGGGGCGTGGCGCGGGGCGGAGCCCGACGCGGACCCGCCCTTGGACCAGCGCATCAGCTGTTTATGGCTCACGTTGCGGTGCTGCCAGGCCCAGCAAGCGCGGCAGAAGTATCTACAACATAACACCAGTAAAGAAATTGTAATTTTTGTTTATTTAGTTGATTTCCAAAATTTGTTTAGATACCTGAAGCAGAGCGGGTCTCTGCAGAAGTATGGTCCCTGCTGCAAGTTGCATACGGAGCACATCGCGTCCTCCAAGTAAGGGTCCACTTGTACCTGTAATATTGACATAAATGAGATAGTTTGAAAAACGGATTTTGTAGCATAAACTACTGA